GGGGGGGGAGTGTTGGGGGGTGGGGGTTATGGTAGATCTGCTGTTTTGGAGCGACCCAGGGAGGAAAACCTGGAGCGGATCCACACAGCTGGTTCCTGAAAGTGGAGATCTTGTGGACTGGGATAACAGCGCCTCCCGGCTGCAGCTGGGGCTACGATTCAGGGCCACGACTTGAGACATTTGAACAATCTGAGCGATCGTCCAAAGCTACATGTTCGTACGTCGTGGTTACGGTCGAGCTGCAGGAAAACATGGCTTGATTTTTTTCCCTCCACGTCTGACCCAGTTTTGGTCGACAGTGTGAATCAGATTATAATCTGATGTTTTCATATCCATGATCTTAAATCTGGTGTTTAACCAACGTTTCTTGACTCAATGTTCATATCATATTTTGAACACGTGAGACTGACGTCCCGACATCATGGTCACGTCTTCTCCTGAGTCGATTCACGTGGCTTTTGTTTAGGATCTAAAACTGTGATCCTGCTGTGAGTGAAGAGACAATGATCTGATCATCCTGAGACGGAGGCAGACGTCGGACTGAAACGCCACGATTAACATCTGAATTAGCATGTTTGCTTTGACTGTGACTCGTGAAGCCATTAATGCCAGTATCAAAGACGACCCTCTGGTGTGACCTCTGCCCTGACCCTGGTTCAAGGCCTCACGTTAAATCTGGATGAGGTGTCGCCTCAGGCGTCTAACCCACAACTCAGCCACTAAGAGTTGATTTTAAATACCTGCCTGTTTGGTTTTTGCAGCTCACGGCCCACGTGACTTACCGCGACCTTCATGTTGATCATCTCTTTTTATTTTAGACCATGATAAAGAATATTAGCAGCTGCAGCAGCAGCAGCAGTCAGAGGGTTTCAGCCCAGACTCTGGTCTTTAGGAGGAGGTCTGCGTCATTAGCATGATTAGCATTCCTTCACAGACATTAGTGCAGCATCAATGACCCCCCGGTGTTTCACTGGCTTCAGCCTCTATTGTTACCCCCTGGGCAACTAATTCACAGTCACCCTACATAACAACACATCTATGAGAGGGCAAAAGTCACAAAAAACAAAAAAACAAATCGAATTGTAAACGAGCCTCCGTCTGTTCCTTCGGCGTTGACTTTTCTGATAACGATAATTAAAGAAAATCACCAGGGAACCGACTGAGAAGTAAAGGTGACTCTGTGATGGAGGGGGGGTGGATTTACCCCAGAGACATTGTAATTAGCTGTGGTGATTACATTAGTTCCCCCCTCGGCCAGTCAACAGGCCTGAATCAACACGACTCGCTCGAACTTTAATCCAAACCTCATGTTGTTAAATCACCCACCGGCCATCGGACAGAAGCCGAAGTGTTGCTCTGCGTCGTAGTTGGTCGTGGTGCCGCACCACTTCATGCCGTCTCTGCGTCCGTCCGCCGTACAGTCGGTGTAGTTGCGACCGTTGTAGAGGTAAGGGAACTGACACAGAGCGCCATTGGAGTTCCCGCCCCGCGTCACCACGACAGCTGTGGTCAGAGAGGAGAACTGTCAGTCCAACGTCAACGTTCAGTAGATTTACTACTGATTCAGCCGAACCGCGACGAGGCGACTGTATCTGTCGCGGTTTGACATGAACACGCGTCCTGTTACGGCCCTGACCGTTGATACTCACGCGTTAGCTTAGCCAATTACGACACACAACCGCTCACCATTTTTCTCTGTACAGTAGGAATATTTCTGGTCCGTTTCAAAGTCCGAGGCGGTGGAACACCACAGCTGCCCGTCGCTGCGCCCGTCTGACGTACAGGAGTGGTAGGTCTTTCCCTTGTAGACGAACGGAAACACGCAGGGCTGACCTCCAGAGTTACCGCCGTACACCGGAACCGGTCCGTCTGTAGAACAAGAACCAACGTCAGCACGGTTGGACAAAGCAGCGACGAACGGCGTATGGGTTTGAAAGAAAACGAACGTCTCACCCCAGTTCTCACAGCTGACCCCGGTGCCGAGGCAGGTACAGACCATCTGTTTGGCCCCCTGGGTCTTGATCCAGCGCTGGCCGACGAAGTACGTCAGTCCTGTGTCCACGCGGCAGGGTCCCTCAGGGGTGGACTCAGACACACTGACAGGTTGGTAGACGGCGGGCTGGATGTTGGTGACCACACGGGAACCAGTGCCTGAGGTCAAAGATGAGGGTCAAACGATGAACTATAACCTCATGGAACCACGGTTTGAGAACCACTGTGTTATCTACAGACAGTAATATTGTAAAAATATAAAGAACAGTTTTGAATAAATCACCGTTTTTATATCAGGAGCCGTTAAATATAAATGTATAAACTGAGCTCCTTCTGTTTTATAACTGTAGACCTTTGGTTGACTAACGCTAGCCTCAAATTAAAACTGTTCTTAAACATTTGGCCCCCCCTCGGCCCCCCCTCTTGTCTCAGGGTGACATTTCTGTCTCAGTTCAACACTTGGACCACTGACACCTCTTATCACCGTGTTGATTCTCCTTCCACTGTAGACTGTAAAGGATGGGGGGGGGGGGGGGGGGGGGTTCTCGT